TGTTTTCTACAGTATAGTTTTTAAAATAAAAAAACCCCAAACAACCCCAAGGTCACCAAACAAATGTACTGGTCAGATGCAGCCTATCAACCACTTCAACCAGCACAAGTCCCTCTAGCTTCAGGTTATAGGTAGATCTGTATCCCTTAATTGTTGCATTAAGGGCCCAGCAGCCACAAACTGAATTTTCCAGATATGCCTCTGCATTTCCAGTCCCGTGCCTAAAAGCTTTGCTTCTTAACTCCTGTAAATCCTAATAACAAGGTGCCATTCCTACATAAACATGTTGCTATTGTTTATTAATATTAACTATTCTGAAAGATATGTTTACCTATCACCTTTGGTCAGAATTAAATGTCTTGGAAAGTAAGACTTGCCACCTATTTGTTCAAATATTTAATTCTTTCCTGCGAGGGTGGTGAGGCGCTGGCACAGCTTGCCCAGAGAAGCTGTGGCTGCCCCCTCCCTGGAAGGGTTCAAGGCCAGGTTGGACGGGGCTTTGAGGAACCTGGTCTGGTGGAAGGTGTCCCTGCCCATGGCAGGGGGGCTGGAACTAGATGGTCTTTAAGGTCCCTTCCAAAACCATTCTGTGATATTCCTAACAGTACCATTGTCTTTATTTTCAACATTATACCATTGCTAAAAAAAGAAGATGAAGAGATAAATTCTGTTTCAGTGTTTTGTTGTCTAACCTCTTGTCACATCAATCCCAAAACTGTCTCTGAAAGGCAGGGACCAGCCAGGGGAATCAAGCATTTACCATATCATTCACTTCACTAGGAATTTCTTAGAGGTGAGTTAGATGCTGGAACTCTTGAGTCACTCACATGTTACCAGTTGGAAATCAGAGTAAGGAAGCTAGAAAAGACAAGAGCTGCCTCTTTCACAAAGGAATACACTGCAGTTTTACAGATTACATGCTCTTTAACTGGAAACATTTAGCAAACAAATAACACAGGAAACCTTACTTCCCAACACCACCAACAGATAAAGTTTAAAAACCTCCTAAGTAGAAAGGTTACCTTTGGAAAGCCGACGTCAGATTTTCAGTTTGGTTCACATTCAGCTAAGTTAACAAGTTTCATCAGAATTAAAAACAAACAAACAAACAAACTTACATTATCAGCTCAAACTTCCCACCAAGCCAGTTTCTAAGTTTTACCCTCAGGTCCCCATCCTCCCAGTACAGCAAGATAAGGAAATCCTGAATTCATTGCAGCTGGCCTGATGAGCCTTGTAATTAGGACATGCAGTGTGGTCTTTTGGCTTCTAGAGAACACTAACCCTTTCACTGCCAAATCCTTTCAGTCCTGTTACAGCTCAAAATGAGGCTCCATTTGAAAGGTACTATTTGTTGTCTGCTTTTTAAAGAAAGAGGTTGGCTTTGCTGGTGGCACAGTGTGAACACAAAGCAGTCATTGCTTTTGGTGGAATTCATCAGAGCTCGTCTCCCTGCCACCTCCCAGATGTGTACCAATACACTTGAGACCAGAATTAGTCAGAATGCATTTCTCTCTTCCTCTTTATTTACCTTTCTACTGTTATCTGTCTGAGACCATCAGCATTTTCCTTGTCACTCTGATCATGCCCTGGACATTCCCTTTGAGTGTGAAGCTAATTCAAAATTTTTGTCCAAAACGCTTCTTAAAAATCTCCTTTGCAGCAATGCAAACACTTTGTAAGGGCTGAATTGCCGATTTGCTCAATTAAGTTCCCCAGACAATAAAATCACCCTGCTTAATGTATCTAAGCAATATTAATTCACCCCTTGTTTTTTACAAAATCAAAATGGACTAAATCACCATTTGCTTTCTCCACATTCATTATGAGTTCCTGAGCTTTCACTATTTGATTCCAGGGGCCAGGATGAATTTTCCCACCACCACCCTTATTATATAACTTGTTTTTTTGGAATGGCTTTTTTCCTCATCTCCTTCTGAAGAACTGGAGATTTCCACAGCTAGCAACAGGATGTAGCGCTGTTTGTGCTGGTGCTCTTTATAGCATCTTTCAAGTGCCAGATTGATGTGTTTTTCACATTGACTCAGAGTTAAACTGATTTAAGACCATTTTCCAGGTCACATTGGTGGGAACTGCTGAAGTGGTTTGCCTGACTCTATATCAGGAGGGATGGGCTGCATCTTGGAATAGTCTAAAAATTTTCCTTAATGAATTAATTGTTCTTGGAAGCACCAGTGACATTGGCAACATCCATCTCCTTTACTGTCATCTTCTGGGATGTTATATTTGTGTCTTTTCCTTTTTTAACATCAGGCCTCAAGATGATTATAGGGAAGTGTTTCAAGGTAGCATGTGTAGACTGGATGTTTTGGTATGTCCAGCTTTGGCACAGATCGCACAAATGCCCTGTCAGCTGAACCAGGTGGCCACTTTCAGAGCCATGTGTCATGCTTCAGCCACAGAGCTGTTGGTGGCTGATAAGATTATGATTTAGTGTCAGTACAGCCTGTAGTCTGATGGGATCCTGGCCTTCAACAAGGTTTCTGGCTGCCATGGTTGAAACAAAGAAAACTTTGTAAAGGTTTGCTGACAGAGTGGTCAAAACTGTGGTCATTGCAACCCTTAAGTTTCTCTATTGACCTGAAACTTCATGCTGGTGGAGGAGTGAACTAATACCTAGTCATAGTGCCCAATTGCTCCCTTGTAATGGGGGTAATAGGTCAATGTAAAGGATCTATAGAAAAGAAGATAGTCACCACTGCGAGCCGTATGTCCAATTTAAAGGCCATTGAAGGCAGCAGGTAGGTATGCTTCGTTCTGTCACTGGTGTGGTCATGGGGGCAGAAATAACAGCCTCCTGATGAGCAGGAGTTATATATTCTACATCCCCAGAGGATGTTCCAGATTTCAGTAATGGGCAAAGAATTTAGGATTTCACACATTCTGTGTGTCTATACATCTACCCTTCTATAAAAATCAGATAATAAGGAATTTGCGAAGTTACTGATGGGGGTAATGCATGTGAAGTACTTTAAGAATCTCTTGGCAAGAAGGGCTCTTAAAAAGAATGGTTTTGTATTATTCCAAGTGTACATAAGAGAAAGTGGCTCCTGGGGAGACAAGAACTTCTTGAAGACCCTTAATTAATACTATTTTGGCATCCATAACACTTCCCCTTCCTTTTAACAATTTGATGCCAAGAATTCCTCATTCCAGTAGTGTCCAATAAATCCTAGAAAATAAATTCCAGTGACCGTTGGAGGTATCTTTGGTTGCCTGATGGCTAAAGCATCTAAAACCTTTTTGTTAGTATTTGAACTAGCTTTTCTTTTTGAAACATATGGGTTTAACCCCTGAAACAAAGTGGCCGATTCTCCTCTCAGCAGCCAGAACATTTTGCACCAGCACAGAACTATGCTGTGCTGAGGGTAAAATGATGGGCTCTTCAGTGCCAGGACATGTGTAATGTCTGCCATGAGACCAGACTCTAGTCTGTGGCCCTTTGAATTGATCCTGCTGCTGTGCACCAGTTTCAGCTTTGTAAGAGTGGACCTCAGCACATTGTGTTTGACTACAGCGAGGGTGCGTGAAGCAGATTATCTGTACGGTGGTGGCCTGCCACTTAGGCTGAATTTTTATTCGCAGTATACGCCTTCTGCAGTGGGATGAGATTCACTGATACCTGGGACTTGTCCAGGTAATTGTGCCCAGAGCTTCAATATGATTCTTTCGGTATGTGACTGTCACCCAGAAAATGCACTCACTGTACGGACATCCTGAATGTTTGAGATCTCTGAGATAAATGTGATTCCATTTCAGATTTACTTCTCAAAGTCTCTAAATGAATTTCAATGCATGCTTTCCATGTACATATAACATATATAAACATGAAAACATATATGACATAAAAAGATTCCACTGAAATATTTGGATTTAACAGCACTGAAAAACAAGGTCTCCACAGAGGCACAGATTGGATGTCTTCTTACCTCACTTTCCCATAAGCCAGCAGTAATTCTCTGATGCCAGGAGAATTACATGAACACATTAACATAGCATTACTGTAGGGTATATCAGACCTAACATAGAAACACCCTGTGAAATATGTCTCATCAATTCAGGGTGGAGAGGACTGTCAATAATTGGTCCTGTTTCTACAGTGATTCATTACCATGTTGGGTTTTTATGTTTTTGTTTTGTTTTGTTTTGTTTTGTTGGTTGGTTGTTTTTTTAAGTTATTTAAACTTTTTAAACTCCTACTACACAGTTTCTTTGGAGCCTTAACACACTGCGAATGAATCCTTGTTATCTCCATTAGGGAGATTAGCTATTTAGGTGATTATGGGTTTCCTGCTGTTCTAAAACAACTGAATGGCAGATTAGGAGCTCCTGATTTTGATTTGCAGATTGAGAGAATGAAGATCCTATTGAGGTGAAGTACAAAAACTAGGTGTTTACTGTTTATCAGGAAATGTTTAAATCACAGCAGGTTTCCTCTTAGAAAATCCAAGACAGATGTAGATCTGAATGTTTCTTGTTATTGTTTGAAGATGGGACTCTGTGTTCACTGTCTCATTAACCAGATTGGAAATTACAAATTACTTTATATTTTTCCTCGTGTTCTTTTCCTTTCCCTGAATTCAGTATTGTTTGTATAAGTAGGTTTGGACCCAAAAACATTCCCTTTTATGGGTTGTTCTTTCAGCTTTTTGCCTGCATATTCTAACTGTACCATGAATGTGGTATGAACAAACACAAGAAAGCAATCTTTCCTTAGTAGAAGGGTTGGGCTAAGTGAACCATAGCAAGCTCAGTCGTTTTCTCAGCAGTGGGGTGACCAGCTCCATTGCACTGCCTTCGTGAAACCTCTTTATTAATTGCTCTCCTCAAAGATGCAGCAATGTTCTTAATAAAACAAACAAACAAACAAACCCAAAACATTTTTTCCTGCTATTTTTATCGTCCCCCTACTCTGATCGGTCTCAGAACAGTCCTTAATACAGTAGTGTTCCATGTGACTCTTTTCTTTTCTTTTGCAGGCTCTGAGCAGCAGTCTGTACAAGAGTGCATCACCTTATGGCTCTCTCAATAACATTGTGGATGGGTTAAGCTCCCTCACTGAGCATTTCTCTGACCTATCCCTTTCTTCAGAAGCCAGAAAACCCAGCAAGAGGCCACCTCCTAATTACCTGTGCCACCTCTGCTTTAACAAGGGACACTACATCAAAGACTGCCCACAGGTAAGAAATATACAATATTCTGGAAAAGTATTTGTGAAAATGTTCCCCATTCCTTGATTTAATAACACAAAATTTGACTGAAATACTTCTTTAGAGTGAGTAACATTGAAGAAATATCTTGAAAGTACCAAGCTAGCCATGTATTTTTTTAATTTATCCTTTATCACAATGCCAATGGAAAAAAATATGCTACTTCATTTCTCTGATAAGCATTACAAAAGATACTAATCTAGGCACATGAATAAGTAGATTCTGGAAACCTTAAAAATGGCTACATGTAATTTTCTATCACAGAGATTGTGTAAAATACATTTTCAAGCAGTGCACAGTTTGGCAATGGCGCTTAATAAAAATATAACAAGTTACATATGATAAAGGAGAAGTGTTACCCTGGGTGAGAACTTTGAATCAGTGTTGCAGTAACACAAGCTCCAAGTATATCTGTCTTTTGTATCGTAGAAGAGGTTTGCTATACTTGGCAAGATGTGATGGTTTTGGACTCCTAGTACTTTTTTGTAGAGGCAGAGCTGGCAATATTTATTTTCTTAGAAAAGAGGTATAAACCAGTGTGCACTAAAACCACTCACCAATCGGCAGGTTTTTTTCCTGAGGCTCCAAGGCACAGTGTGCGAGGTTTCTCCATCCTCTCAAGTTTCAGCTGGATGCAGTCGTGTTGCTGGCTTAGACTTTCACAGCTCCAACAATATTCTATATAGTCCCAAGGAAATTAAAGTGCTGCCAATATTCTAGATATACAGATGTGGACGTTACCGGCATCCGCTTCACTACAGTTTTAACCTCCTACCCTCTTAATGTGTGACTTTCAGCAGAATTAATCTGCATAAAATTAACTACAGTTAATTCGCAGTTAAGGATGTTAGACGTATATAAGCCAAAACACGGGCAGAAAAGCATCTGCCATATTTGCAAAGTCAGCATGAAATCAAGTCTAATGTCAGATGAGCTTTAACTGAGTGTTTTCCTCCTGCTGTTATGTGTAGACTATACTGTTTTCTTCATGGGCTTTAGCTGTATATCTTTCATTAATTCTAACGAAAGCTGTGGAATCAAAGTACGTATGCAGTCTTGGGTGTGGCACTTGAAAACATTTATACTTTATATTATTTCAATATAGGTTAAGGCAGTTTTCTTTAGGAAAAAAAACTATGAAATTTTCTTTGCTAGGTGATCAAAAATACTCTGATCTGTATACTTCTGTGTTTAATGTACCTAGTTTAGTATGTTACCACAAAACACAGAGACAGGACCATACATTACTTAACCAGGGGATTAACACTACAACTACTAAATATGCAGCAGAGTGAAAGAGTGCTAAGATGGGGGAGATGGCTGTGCTGTGCTGCGTAAGAAACCAAATGAATGCAATGGGTCTCTTGATGATCAATATGTGCAAGCTGCAGCTCGCACAGATGGTCCCTAGTGAATGTGTCAGTGTTGGAGCAGGAATGCATTGTTTATTTCATGGGTATTTTTACAGTTTGAGGCACTAGGGATTAAGGAGCAGTTAATGTAAATTGAAGACATACCCATAGAAATCCAGGAGATGCAAACAAATTAAGGGTCCTGTAGGAAGATTAATTCACTTATATTGCACATCCAATGTAATTTTTTTTAAGATTTCACTAGTAATGTCTTTAATTTCTCTGTGAACCAGGAAATTGAAAGACTTCCTACAGAGTGTACTCTGTGGCTGGCCTGTGAGCTAGTGAGTAATGAGTGAAGGAACACTGGACTGGGAGGCATCTGCTTGCTCACTGCACGTGGTCTTCTACAGTTACAGGCAGCCATATCATACAGCCCCTTTGGAAAACTGATCAAGTTTTAGCTGGGAAGTATTTCAGTATTTTGCCCTCTCTACTGCTGATGTGAGAAGTTGTACCAGAACCTCAGTTCTCTCCTAATTAGAAATCTCCCAGTTTCCAGCATAAGTGTAACTCATGGCCACTTTAAAGTCATTTGTTCTCCTGCCAACATTGTCCTCTACTGAAATAGCTCTTCTCCCTCCCTGGTGTTTATCTCAGGATGTATTAATAGACTGCAATCATATCCTCTCTCAGCATTCATTCTGTAGGACTAACTGAGCCAGGTTTTCTTGGTCTCCTCGCAAAAAGTAGATGGACTCTATATTCCCCAATCCTTCTCATGGCTGTCCTCTTGTGCTTTTCATCTCCTTGTGCACGCATGACCACCTGGGCGTATGGCATCCGAGAACAGATCTCATCAGTGCCTTTTGCTGTGTCTGCACGTGTCTCTTTCTATAGATCAAAGTTTATGTTACTTAAGGAACAGGTGATATGAAATGAGTTCTTAAAGCAAGTGTTTTATGGTCTAGTCAGTATGTAAGAGATTCTTTGAAAAAGAGCAGACAAGCATTCACATAAACTTGACCACTTCCCTTCTGTTCTCTAAATTTGAGGACAGATCTACAGGGGATGACCCTGTGTGCATAAGTTATGTTCAGAATATTGAAAACATTGTGCACAAGAAGAGAGCACCAAGGGCAGGATCGGGCCTTTGCAGAAAGACCCAGTTTGTTATCACTGCTTTTGATGATAACCGATTTCTTAATTTGTACATTATATGCACTACTTAATAGCTTAGATTTTGATGCTTAGTTTTGCAAGTGCTGTCAAAAATGAAAGTTGTTTTCCAAATCCTACCAAAAAAGGCCTGTAGTCATGCATTTTTAAAGTATTTAAATTTGGATAGAGAAAAGAGATAAACTAATCTGATTTGGACAAGATGCCTATCAGTAAATCATACAGTATTTTTATTTTCTTTTTATGTAACTGCCTAATAAGAAACAGATTTTGAAATGGGGTGTTTTATGGAGTTTTTCCTGCATAACAAATAAATTGTGTAACAACTTTGAGACTTTATATCCTCCATTAATTCTGCTTGTTATAAACACTGTAAGGGCAACTTTTTCTGTTTCTGTAAAAGTTGATGGTATACCATACTGATGAAAATACATATATATGTTCAGATTTATATCTTAAGTGATGATCACATTCCAGGATATTAATTAATTATAAACTAAAAAAGGCCAGCTTTAGTATTTGAGTACCTCAGATATCTGCAGTTTGTCCAATATCCTGACCAAAATTATCTGTTTGGAAATTGAAGTGGGATTTAGCAAACTTCTATTATTGCAGTACATAGTTTGTGTGATCTATAGTGATAGAAAGTGTATTTTCTGTTTTAGAAACTACCAGAAATAAAAGCAATGTTGTGACTGCAATTCATCATTTCCAATTTGCCTACATTTGCAAAAACTTTGTTGCAGTTATTATGTCTATAAAAAACACAGAGCTTTTTATCTTTAGTATCATATTTATAGCGTACCTACATTTTCTCTGAACTAATTCTTGAGTTTCAGTGGCTTAGATGATAATATCTTACTCATACTTCTCTGATGTTCTTTCACATACAGAGCTCTCACTGACTTGAATGAACTGAAAAATGTCTAGAGAATAACAGTTAAAAGCAGTGCTCTTACACTTAATATAGTGATGTTCTGAAATTATCATTGACAGTGCTATCAAATATACAAAATATTTCTCTTTAAATAGCAAGGAAGAGTGAGGAATGAGAGTACCTCTCTGGTTTAATAGGGGTTAGTTGCATGATTTATAAATATATATGTATATAGATTTTTCAAAATTTTGTTTACTTATGTACTTGAAGGTACTGTGCCAGTGTACATCTTACATATACATGATAACCATGGGTTTTCTTTCCCTTGCCAGGACAAATAACTGTGAGCTCTAGGCCAATAACAGTTAAGATATATGATTCTTTATGACATTTATTTATCTAACAGATATAGAAACTCGTAGAAGACCTTTTAAAAAATGTTACATTGTCTCTTTTCACCCATTATCACTGTAGTCTATATTTTTAAATCCTACAAAATATAAACAGTGGGATTGTTTGTACTATGCATGGCCTATACAACATGAATCTTGCTCCTTTACAGTATAGGAATGTTATTGACATTACTACCTTTCCGTGATGTCATCGCCCTAAACTCAGACCTATCATAGAGTTTTAATATTCAGGAAGTACAGATAATGGGGGTATGGTATTAGATACAGTATATGTGGACATTTATAAATAAAACACCTAGTTCAGGTTATAAGAAGTTGCTGAGTGGTTGAACCTTTGCCATGGTTCAAAATCTTCTTTGGAAAGGAAATATATTGACACAGATCCTAGACCTCATTTATTGCATATGGCATTCCTCTTGTTAATTTGGGCAGTAATGGATTAACAGCAAAGGCAGCAACAAAGTTTGCACTTGTAGAGGTCCAAGCTCAGAGCTCCAGCAAAGCATCTCTGTATTCAGAGTTTCCAAACTGCTCTATCTTGTGTTTCTGCCAACCACCAGTTCCATCTACTGGTGTCCCTGTCCTAACTTTATTCAAGTGCTGTCAAATCCTTTTGTGAAAATATGTGCAGGCCTAGTCACTCAAAAAATACATGGCTCCAGCCATGTATTTCTGAACACTAAACAAGAACACTGCTCTGATCCCTGTGCCAGTGCCAAGCTCTCTGAAAAAATCTTCCTGACAATTCCTGTAAATTTCTACACGGGCAAGGAACACTCACATCATGGAGACTTAGTGGCAAAAAAAACCCCACCCAATCAACCAACGGACAAATATCACTGTTCTGCAGTCAAATTCTTGCTGCACTGCAACTCTTTAGTCCAGTTCCTGGGAGGTACAGAACTGTTGCACAGCGTATTTCCCAATTTTACAGTATACTCATAGAGGAAAATGCATGTGCATGCTCACAGAAGTACAGACATACTACCACAGATGTACACATAATGGGAAACAATATTAGCCTCATTTTGCACTGCATTTTTAAATCTGTGAATGAAATGTATGGCGTGGTCTGTATTAATGAGGCCGACAGTGGGAATCTTTCCATGGCCAATAGTGATCTGTGAAGCAGACCTTTAGTTAGACTAA